TATATGTACAAATGACTATTGATTGAAAAAAAAAATAAGTTGACTTAAAACCTTCGGCATTGTAACCTTTCTTTTGATACTAATCTCATATAAAAATTCCATTATGTTTCATTAATTTGAACGATATTTGATTTCTATTTTATATGACATTCAACTGAAACAAAAACTCCATTCTTTTTTTTTCAAAGAGAAAAAAAATATATGTCAACGATAACAATTCTTACCGATAAGAAATAAATCAAATTATTATTGATCAAATAAAGATTCTTTTCTTTTTTTTTTAATTTCAATTCTGATTTGAAAATATCTATCTCCATCTATCGCAATTTCTATAATATTCTCACCGTTTGTGCGTATATTGTTACCTTAGTTACTTTAAGAAATGAGAAGAAAAAATAAGTAATAATATGTGAGTTCTATTCATTCCTTCTTCCAATTTGTCTTTGTTTATATTATATACAATGTGTATAGTTAATTGAACTACACATTCTCCTACTCTAGAATTGTTGAATGACGAAGATAATGTGAACATGTGGAAAGAAATTTGCAAAAAAAGAAAAAAAAATCTGATTGAAAAGAAAGATTGTTGTTTATTACGGTTTTTCTTTTTTGTTACAGTAAGTTTTCTACATTGATTGAACGATCAAATTCTTAAACTTTGTGATTATTGTCAAGTAAGTGTGAAGATGACGACAAGTATTGTTTGATTTTATATTACATGCAAACTTGATTCAATTTACAATAGTTTAAAATTATTTATGACACCTCTTCTAGTGTCTTCTTTGTAGTTTTGTTTAATGATATATATATATTAAAATTTTTAGTTGGTAGAACAGAATCCTAGTTGAAACAAGCGACATTTTTTTTATTTCATTTATTTGCTTAGTTTATAGAAAAAAAAAATCAAAGAAAAGAAAATTTTTCTTCTAGAATCTAGATCATATTTTAATATGAATACATTTGTTCATAATTATTTTAGATAGCAAAAATCAAAACAAAACATGACAACAAAATCTGATTATCTTCTTCGATTAAAAATAATTAGTCTTGGTAATGTTAATGTTGGAAAAAGTTGTTTAATTAAACGTTATTGTGAAAAACGTTTTGTACCAAAATATATGGCAACAATTGGTATTGATTATGGTGTAACACGTTTACGTATACGTAATTATGATGTACGTATGAATATATTTGATTTTTCTGGTCATCCACTTTTTTATGAAGTACGAAATGAATTTTATCGTGATGTTCAAGGTATTTTACTTGTATTTGATTTAACAAATCGTCGATCATTTGATACATTAGATTATTGGTTATGTGAAATGAAAAAAGAATTAAATTTAAATAATGGACAAAAATCTTCAATTATTATTTTTATTATTGGAAATAAAAATGATTTAAAACGAGTTGTTGATGAAAATGAAGCTAAAATATGGGCAAATGTTCGTGGTTATCAATATTTTGAAACATCAGGTATTCAAATAAATTTTATTTAATTTTTATATTTTAAAGAACAATTATTAATGATTATGAATATTTTAAGTAGATTATTTGTACTTTAAAGATAAGTATATATGATTTTTATAAAAATTCTTAACTACAAGAATTAGAATATTCTGAAGATTTTGAATAGAATAGATATTAATAGTTTATAAGGTTCAACTATATATGTTACTGAGAGCTTGGCCTCTAAACTAAATAAAACACTAGGTAGCTCGCAATTGCCTTGTAACTTTCAGGATATCCTTTATTTCATTAATTTGATAATTTTTACTGATATAGCGACTTGAAAATCATTAGAGTCTGACGAAAATCTTGTTCTAGTCAAATTATCATTATTTAGTACGAGAACATACAAAAAAATTATCTCTAGAATTTCTTTCATTGAGAATATTGACTTTATTCAGTACTATCTGAAAATGAACATGCTCAATATTCAATCCGTAGGATCGAATAGACCTACGAAACGTAGATCTTCATGCGTCTATGACAGGTTATTAAGATCTACCGGAAAATTTTTATTTAGCATCAGTTCGTTGCCTTTCCGAAGACTAAATTATCTGTCCTTGAGTTTGTAATTATTGTACTAACGTGCCAGTATTTCAAAAAAAAATAATGTTCATCTTCCCGAAACTTCTAATTGCCCTTTCGGCAATAAGGGAATCTGAATAAGACATTGCAACCAACTACATATACCCCCTTATTTTAATCAAAAAAAAAAAAACTCTAAAATTTGAAAAGATATCTGCATCGATTTTCTTTTTCAGATTGAATTCATATGTCAAAATAAATAAGAATAAATTAATGATAAAAATCTTTATAAATTTGATTATCGCTATTTTTCATCTTTGCTTGCTCGATCTACTATTACATCAAAAAAATTCATTATTCAATTTCTTGTTTTAACATTATTTAATTATTTTTCTTTTTATTTGTTTTTTTTTAGCTGCAACGGGTGCAGGTGTACAAGAATTATTCGATAGTCTATTTTCAGCATTGATTGATACAAATGAAAATGGTGGTATTCCACCAACTAATAATTTACCAAATATAAATTTTACTATTGAACAAATCGAAGCAATTAATCGTTTACGTAATAATAAAGATAATTATGAACGATTAGGTTTAAGACATAATTGTACAAAAGAAGATGTTTTAACAGCTTATAAACGTTTAGCTAAATTATTACATCCAGATAAAAGTGATGCACCTGGAAGTGAAGATGCATTTAAGTTATTACTTAATGCTAAAACAGAATTATTAAATCGTTTTGAAAAATAAAATCTATGTGAAATGTAAACCGAAAAAAAAAACAAAAAGAACATTTCTTAAAACAAAATCTAGACTCATGATATTAAGCCTTTGTTTTTAATCAATATATATATATTTTTTTTTTCTAAAGTTAATTCAATATTAATGTTTGTTTTTTATATGTATGAATGTATTCAAATTGAAGTAAAATAACTTTTGACAATTTATATTCAACTTTGTTTGATAATACAATTGCAATCTTATTTATTTCCTGTTGAGTCCTTTTTTTTTGATTCATTCATAGTAGATAATATGACAAATAGTTTTCCTTGAATTATTTTATTTTCAATATAAACTCGAAAATAATACGATCTTCATACTAAAACCTTTTTCTAGAAGGTTGTATGCCTCATCACCGAAAGCGAGATCGCCGAATTCCTTTTGGTCGCCTATATTCGGGTAGTTAAGTTAGTTACTAACTTGATCAAGATAGGAAACGACTTGATCAAGTTAGGAACTGATTTAATCAAGTTATGGACTTATTGAATCACTCACTTAAGTTAGTTATTAACTCGTCACTTCATAATAATTGCTAAGCCCAATAAGTATCAATAGTCACAATAATAGAAGTTTTCTGATACAGCAAATATTATCTGAGAATATCACGATAGTTTCGGTCATAGGCATAAAAATCGCCGACAGTCGCATGGTCGAAATGATACTTCGCCGAATCTCGGCGATCTGCATTTTGGCGATGTAACTTTCGGCGAAGAGCATATTTACCTTCTAGAACGCATAGATGGTTGAAAAAAAATATGCAACGGACATTTGTTTTATTGATAAAAGATTGAAATTTGCAGCTGTTGTGATGGCTTTCCTTTTGGGTGATGTCTTAACACATACGATAGTAGATGAGAAAGACTTGATTTCAATTGAAGAGTATCCATCTTAGTCAGTTTTTAATAAAATATCATCTCCGAAAATGACACACTCACTTTTCAAGGAGTGATTCATGATAAGTAGTTCTCCAGTTGCGTACAGAAAAAATAACAATACATATGATTCAAACTGGACAAAAAAAGCCACCTCTCCATTGACGATAGTGCAAACAAATGAGTCATATGAGAGCATAATTGCGAAAAAACGTAAAACAATTAATAATAATTAATTTTTTATATCATTCAAGACGAATAGATCATCTATAGCTTATTCCGCATCTCAACAGTGAAATAATCATGTCGAAAATTAATCATATCAATCCTAGGACGATGAATCTTAAAATTGAATCCGGTCAGATCATGTTAAATTTACAGCTGAACATTAGACATAGTGTGATCTTCCATGTTATCATCGCCCTTCTCCTGAACTATCTTTCTCTCATACTATTAGCTAAAAATTAATAGCTTAAATGTAAAAAGAAAATCGAACCAAGCATTTATATTCTCTTCTGATAGGTTTTATATCATAATATAATTCAAAATAAAATAATTTCTTTGTAACGTTCGTTGAGTTGTATAGCTTTCATTCTCATCCTAGGTAATTGTTTAGAAGATGTAGATTAATGGAAAAAATGGCTTTGCATCATCATAAAAAGTATTACGATGACATTTCGCATGTTGTCTAATAATCATAAAAATCAAAACTAGTTATTTTGATGTTATCAGATTCGATGAAATTTGTGCCAAAAGGTAAATAGTTAATCGTCTAAACAAATATATATGATAAGAGAAAAAAAAGCATAAAAAACAAAAGTGATAGATAGGTCAGCAGAGAAAGTTAATGTGACATTAAACTGATTTATTTTTGCTATGTTACATATCTAAGAAAGAATCTATGAAAACAAGAAATGATGATTTATGGAGTTTTTTTTTTGTCAAAATTAGGCATATCTCAAAATTTTGATCTTGGTTGACATTCAAATTTAAATGAATTTCATTGATAAAATTCTAATGACAGAGGGCGCTATTCTTTTTTCTAGAGTAGTTTTATAAAAAACAAAAGAAATAATTAAATTTTTGTTATATAGAATCATATCTATAAAATAATAGATAGCAAACCAATGTTTGTTTTTTCAATTATACTATAAATATCAATTAATCATTCAATCATTCGTCTATATATTAAACCAAAGAGGTACAATCTAGACAACAAGTACATATAGCAAAAATTTTCTTGTATTATATAAAAAAAACGTTATCAATCGATAGATATTAATTATCTATATCTTAAATTTTAAAAATAAAAAATTAATGTTTCGAACACTTCGTAATCATTGGAAAAAATCTTTATTTGCTTTTTGTGCATTATCTTATGGTACTAAATGGTCGTATGATCGTTATCAAGCAAATCAAATTCGTCAATTTTATTGTCAACAAGCATCTTTATTAGGTTCACAAACTTTTCCATCTATGACTCGTATAACACGTATTGCTGTATTACTTAATGGTAAAGCAAATAATGGTAAAGCAAAATCAATTTATGATAAAACAATATTTCCATTATTACATTTAATTGGTCTTGATGTACGTGTTTATCGTTTGGATACAATAACAGATACAGATGGTTTACAAGAATTATTAACAAATAAAATTGAACCAAATGAATTAACTGCATTAATGATTGTTGGTGGTGATGGAACATTAAGTGAATTAACACCTTATTTATTTCAATCAAATATTTTACAAAATTTACCTATTTGTATTATACCTATAGGTGAATATGTATCATTTGGACGTAGTTTATTTCCAATAACAAATAAAAAAAAACTTCATGATGATATTGCTTTACTTTGTGAATCAGTTTTTGCTTTATATAATGGAAAAATTGTTCGAAAACCTTTATTAAAAATTACAATGTCAAATCAAAATGAAAAATCAATGTAAGATTATTGAAAAATATTTGATTAATGTATTATTTTGAAGAAAATATATTCAAAATTAAGTTTGAGTCATTCATTAAACGTTCTTCATGATTCTGATTACTTCAAATCTATTGAAGTTTTAGAACGAAAATCTATAAATATTAATTCTCAAAATTATTCGACTAGGTTTATTTTAAATTATTTGTTTTTTTCAGTTTCAAGATCTTGTAAATAGAATTCAAAATAAATAATTGAGATCGATAAAACAAAAAATAATTTTCTACTTAATGAAGCTTATTCCAGTTCTCGGTGGCGTTGTCTGACCGACATATATCAGTCGTATAGAAGGCGCAAAAATGACATTCTCTAACGAAATAGCAGAAAAACGCCTTTGGTATCTTTCATAAGGTTGATGTATCCCGATCAATAAATGTCATAGACAGCTGAAAGACATTTCATTTTGTACAGAACTGTTTATTCTATCGTTCTGACTAATTTATTCAGAATTCTAAGAGCTGAAAAATTTGATTTTTCAGAGACATTGTGCTTAGAAAATTATTACATTAGGAAAAAAAACTCTCTACTCAAATCACTATTGGATTCTTATTAGTATTTACAGAAGCAGAAACAAATTGAAAATAAATTTGATTGAATAATTTTGAGAGTTATGATGTAATTATCTTCTTTAAATTGAAACATTCATTATTTAGTGAAAGATTTTTTTAATCATCCTTTGTTTTTATTGAATAATAGATATTAAAATCAAAGTAATAAACCTTTCAATACTATAGCTGAGGAGATAATATTTATAAATATCAAATAGTATTTATTTCATTTACTTGTTTACCAGTAAGATTAAGAGTATAAAAATTTTGATTCGTTTATCCATACTTCAAATGATCATTTGAAGAATTGTCCGTATTTGAAAACATAATAAACTTCTAAGCTTTGAGTTGCACTCATAGAAAAATAAGTTTAAGCCTTTAGTCGAGACATAGTCAATGAATTCTTGACTAGAAAACTATGGGTTCGTATACATTATTTAATTTATTGTCAGGTTCGGGTATGCGTTTACAAGAATGTGGACTCGCACCTCTCTATTCTTCACACTCTCTCTACAGATAGATATAGTCACAAGGCTTACTCCTTGTACAACTATTTTCTAGTTACACAATTAATTTGTTATCATGTAATAAAATATTTCGTTTTCCAAATGATAAATTTTTGTTACATAATCGATATTCGTATATTTCATTTAACATTCTACAGTAAACGAATAATGTTCTCTGATCGAATCGTTTTTTTTAATAAAATGGCGACATAAGTAATATGCGTTGCTAGATTTTTGTTTTTAAATAAAGATATGTGAAGAGTCTTCTACAGTACTTAATATCTATTGAAACAAAATTTTATATCTTAATTATTACAAATCATATTCTATTAATAAAAACTCATTGTAGATTCTTTGTAAATTATTATTATGAAGACAAAAAGTATATGTATCTATATCTTAACTCTCATATATAATTTGAGAGTTTTGAATAGGAATGTTGTATTTTTTCTGAATATGGCTATCAAAATTTTCTAGAATGTTTCATGTTTAGAAATTTTACGCTGATCTTTTATAGGTTCGTAAAATAAATTTGAACAAATTTCAATACATAAAAAATTCTTCAACATAGAAATAAAAATTATTTCAAATATCCCGAACATTTTTCTATTACAATGTTATAGTAATAATTAGTTTGCTGCAAGTCAGTCCAAGAAAATTTTTGAATTAACATACGAAAATATTCGATGTTTAAAAGAAACATTTTTTTAATATACTGATGATACTTGACACTAAGAAAAATTTAATAACATTTACAAAGCTTTACATTTAACAAACTGATATTGTTTTGAATACAATAGAAGTTCTGAGGATTTCAATAAATCTTTTGCGTCAATGCCTCTCGAGGGGACTTCTAGTATGACACAGAAAGAATATTCTATAGGCTCCATTTAAAAGGTTGAATATTTTTTTCTAATTATAAAAATTCGTCGGATCATACTTTGATACTTTCAATGAAGTTTTCTCATTGAAATAGTATAGTTGCTGGTACGATACTTTTTTTTTTTGTACTCGGTAAATAGCATATCCTACACATTTCTCTGAGGACTAGAGCCTGTCGGATTCGAAATTTTTACATCCGAACTGGAGACTAGGCCGATGAGCTCTACTAATTACTTTATGATCACTCGTTATTAAAATAAAGTTTTGTTGTTTGACAATAAAACAAAAAAAATAATTGTGTTATTAAAATCTCAACTAGTTTTAAAATCTTTTGTGTGTCATTCATTCTTTTTTTTTAATTATCTTTAGCTATGCAAGTACATTTGATTTCGGTCATTATACACGTCTTGAACAACTTCAAAAACGTTTATGGTACTTCAGTTATTTAAAATATCCTATATCATCAATATATCTTTCTATAAGAGATTCATTAAATTCAATATTATCATCTGAACAATCATCGATTATTTATTCAAATCCATGTTCAGGTTGTTTACGATGTCAACCATCATTATTAGATCAATATCGTTTATCACAACAAGAAAAAAAATCAAGTTATTTTTCTCGTATTTATCAATCAAATCGTACAAATATAAAACCAAATATTTCTCAAATAAAAGAACCAATAGAAAATCCTAATTGTGGTATTGAATATTGTATAAATTTAGATAAAAAACCAATACAATTATGGGCAAAATTAATAAATGATGAACATAGTTTTCAAATTGATATAAGTGATAAACTTGAACGTTTTAATTATGATAAAGAAAAATATCCAAAACAATCAATCAATGTTCAACATATTAGATTTAATCCAAATATAAATTTATTTAATAAATATATGTTAATTAATCATGAAAAATTTGATAAAAAAAAAGATAAAGAAGAAGAAAAACAGAATGATTTAATTGAATATCGAATTGAATTAAGTGAAAAAACATTAAAATTTATTGAAATAAATCAGGATTTATTATTAACAAAACAATTAACATTAAAACCAACATTTAATAAACTTGAAGAAGATGCTCTTGAAAAGAAGGGTATTTTTCTATTTTCTCGTCGTCATCAACAGAAACAATCATGATAATGTTGTCTAGTTGTATAGTTTCTTTTCTTTTTGGTTATTGTTTTTGTTTTTTGCTTTTTTTCAAAAAATATCTGTTTAAATGGATCATTTATTTTGATGTCTTTCGTTTTTCTTCTTTTCTTTTGCTTCTTAGTTTATGCATGCCATTCATTTGCTTTTGGTATATATGAAGGAATAAGAAACTACGTGCATACAGGCATGATTTAGTTTCTTCATTATGAACTGTGATGAAAGAGGAATGGATGAAATCCCTTAAGCATCTCTTCACTGATATAACGAGAGCGTCTGTAGCTATATACACTAAGCATGATATATTATTTTTTATTCAGCTTTCAGTCTTTCGTAGAATAGTAAAATGCAAAAAAAAAACACAAAACAACTTTATTCTGTTTTTATCTCAGCATGATATTTCTTAACATAGTACTCGTACACCTGATATTCAACATGTCTTTTCCTTTTTATGAGCAATGATGCAAACAGTTTGTCAACGATGTCTACATCAAAGAACATGACTTATATCGTGTTCACTATAGATCTTTTTTTTTTCCACCAGACGCCAATGTCGACGACAAGAGGAAAACCGACAAAAGAAAAGAAGGACGAGAAGGAGGAGCAAAGACTCTCACACGCACTGTGCACGTGTGACTGTCTCGTCCGTTCCGCATATTTTTTCTTCAACTGGTGGTCGTGATACTCGGAATATTTGTAGGTTAAAGAGAAGAGAAAAAAAAAAGGAATGTAAGACAAACACAATCAAAAAAAAGTTCAAGCGTGCATATAATCATAATGCATAGATAGCAACTAGAATGTGACATAATAAATTGTTTTTCCACTTTTTTGATCTTATTTTCTTTCAATTTCAGATACGATCGAATGTTTTTTGATTTTTTTTCCAAGAAAAAAAGATATAAAAAAAAAAAGGTAAATATATTGTGTTAATTCTTATGACACATCAAAGGTTTTTGTTATGTGCATTTTTCATACAACTTTCATGGTATGACATTTTTCTTTTTTTTTTTGATTATTTTTAATATTCTTTCCAATCATTGTCACTTTTTTTCTTCTCGGTCCCGCTGTTTCTTTCTTTTTTTTTTATTATTATGTATATTGAGTTATTAGTTGACAAAAACAGCAAATTCTTTTTCACTTTTTTTTTCGTATTTTAGCTTTTTTCTTTCGTTTTCTACCATCAGTAATGTCTGTAGATAGAAATAAATACAAAGAAAAATACCTAAACAGATGGATTCAAATACTTATTTAGTGTCCTATAAACGTGAAGGCAATTTTTTTGTGTGGTTGTTGTTTATTACAAATTATACCCGTTACATTTTACAGGAAAGAGGAAAACAAGTCTAATAGCATTCTTTCAGATTCAACTGTTTACCAAAAAAAAAAAAATGTGTTCATGATTCATTATGTTAAGTAAAGAAAAAATATATTGTAAGTAAAAACCCCATGATTTATTTGTCAATAAAAATTTCTTTTTTTTATTATTAATTAGATTAACAAGAAAACAAAAAGAAATATAAAAAACGATACTAACGCGAGCATTGAAATTGACATTTAACTAATTTATCTATCGAATTACTATTGTATTGCATTCATCATATTTTTTTTTCTCATTTCTTTATTATTATCGTCTGAAAGTATTAGGACGTGTTAGTTAAACCATATAGCAAAAGAAAGCAATGCGGCAGCCTTTGGCGTAATGTCCGATGGAAACAAATGTAAGTATATTTAAACAATAATAATATAGGTTACCAAAAAAAAAAAGAAATTTTTCAGACTTAGCTATTAAAGAAAAAAAAAGAATTGTCCCTTTCTGTACTAACTTACACGAACATGAAAACAATTTGTTTTTGTTTTTTATTTTTGAGATTATTCCTTTTTTTTTTTCTTTTGCTTTTATTCATTCGGTCTTGATTTTTGTCTAGTTGACGTAACTACATACGCACAGCAACGTCAGCAAAATCGATTACCATTAGAAGAAATGGGCAATGTATTGCTTGACGCGATGCAAGGTACTCTCATTTGTCTTGATAATCATAATATTATTATTGATGTATCTAAAACAATAAAAAATTATTTTGGTTTTGAACAAGTTCGTTATAAAATATATAATAATATTTTTGAAATTAAAAAAAAAAACTTTTGTTTTATTTTTTTTAAAGTCTGAAATTATTGGTCTTTCAATATTATTATTCATTGAAGATAGTGAACGAGATTCATTTGCAAAATTTCTTTCTAGTACATCAGAATGTAAGTATACAAAAAAAAAATATTTAAAACATATATATCGAACTCACTATATTAATATTAATGACATAGACATTGATCCTTTTATCTTTCTAAATAGAAGTTTTCGGAAAGGAAATTATTTTTTTTATAAGGTTACAGATAATGTTCTTTTTTCATTCAAACTGTATATAACTAATTCTTTTGTGTTCTATTGATGAATAAAATTATTTGATAAGAAAAAAAACAAAAAAAAAAAAAATCTGTTAACTTTTTTTTTTGTTTTTTATCTTTCGAATAAACATGTCTAGAAATAATAATAATAATAATAAATTTGTTTTGTTTCTTTATCAATTGATAAAAAGTTTTTGCTCGTTCGAATTGTATATAATTTCTTCGTTTTTTTTACATACATGCATAAATAAAATCATCTGATAAAGAAAGAAAAAAAGAAAATATTTGCATAATAATGTTGAGATTTTTATATGGATTCGTCAAGAAGATTTTTTTTTGTAAGATGACAGTTAATTATAGTTAAATACTTTTTTTTTTTGTTATAAGATGTTCTTCATGAATATAAATAATAGTCTTAATTTTATTGTGTAGGCTTTTTTTTTGTATTATTATATGTTTACAAAATGTGTAACAAAAAAAAACAAAATTATTCTATAAATCGAACACAAACAATCATTTTATACATTAGATAGGAATATTTTAAAAATTTCAATAGAATAGTAATATGAAAACTATTTGAATAAATTAAAATTTTATTTAGTATATTTTTTATATAAAATATCGATATATATTTAATTAGAAAATGATCATGTTTGACTTTCCTATGATTGTAAAACAAAAAAAAAAACAATTTATCAATTGAAACTTACACAAAACTAATCACATGAGAATAATATTAAAATTAATCTCAATGCTTTTATGAGAATAATATCATAGACGGTCGATCACGTATAAAAAACTAATAATCAATGAAAGTCGTAGATCAAATTGATTTTTTTTTTACAAAAAATGTATCAGTATTGTTAATTTCGATCATTGTAAAATTTTAATTCGAAAATTAGAGTAACTTAATGTAGAATTTATAAAATATTTCAATGAAATATCGAACTCTAAAAAACTATTCTATATGAAAGTCGATATCTCGTGCCATGTCTCTATATATTTTATGTTAATTTAATATGTAGTCTGTTCTATAAATAATCCTAAAAATTAATTCGCACTTAAAGAACGTTTCAAAAAATAAAAAATTATTTTATTGTTTTTGATTAAAAATATTAATTGATTATAAAATTTAGTGTACGATATTTGTTGTGTTCGAATGATAATGGCTGTTACAAATGAATATCGACAAGTAAAAGTACATCGAAAGAAAAAATTTAATCACGATAATGCTGGTAAGAGAAATATATATATATATGTTTTTTATTTCAAAGTTTTTTTTTTGTTTGATTTTCTATTGATTAGATGTACATTCAACAACACCTCGACATAGTATTTCAATAGGAACAATACTTGTTTTAACATTAGATGATTCATCTTATATTGATATCACACTTTTTGATGTACATAAAGAAGAATTTTATACAAAAATGAATTTAATAGGTGAAATTACATTCGAAGATCATAGGTATGAAAATCAAATAAAAAAAAAAAACAAAATTTTTTCCAATATCATGACGTTGTTTTTTAATAATAACATTCCTCTAGAGTTTTCTAATTTTTTACTTTTATTGTCTATTAAGGAAACATGTTTTTATTATAAAATGTTTCTCATTAAAAATAACCTAGGGAAAAAAATTCTCCCCTACTGTGTTGAATATCCTTTGATTAAAATGTAGATAGTAGTGATTAATTAGGCTTTTTATATAAATTCTAATTTATTTACATGAAGGATTGTTTTTTTTTTTCGAAATAGACTGCATGACCGTTGATACTAAAAATTAAAAGATATTATGATTATATAAACAGTTCGATATATAATCCTAATCGTAGACTATTTGTTTCAATAGTTGAATAAAATCATAAAAATAAAACAGTAATACAAACAAAGAGAAAAATCATGTTTTATAACAAAAGTAATCTTATGTATAGACTAATATTGTCATTGTATTTGTTTCTGATAATATGAAACCCGAGTAAATCTACTTTAATCTTGAAAAACGAAAGGATTTAATAATATTCTTTTTTGTTTTTATAATGAACAGCTAATCCAGATTAGGATTTATTTTGTTTACTAGTAGAAGACGAAAGATTAGAAAATTTATTGATAAAATCAATATGCTGATGTTTGTAATAAATAATATTTCAAAATTTCTTTTTGTTTGAGATTTCGTGTTTCAAAAAATGAATAGATGAGTGTATATTTTTGAGATATTAATTGATTCATAGATGAATAAATAAAAATTTTCAAGTAGAAAAAACGAATAAGTAACGATAGAAAACATAGGAATAAGAATATTCTTGAAATCTGATTCTGTTTGTCAAATATTTGAAAAAAAAAAGAATTAAATATTTATGGTCATGTCTCGTCACAAACGGCTGAAATCTTCAGAAATTATTTACACTAATGACTACAGCATTACTTGAGCGTTGGCGGAGACAACGGCTCAGTCAATCCACTTAGACTTCTATATACGTCGTAGTTTCTTAACAACCCATTCATATGATTAAAACATGTTATTGCGTTTCAGTTTAACCTTGGTTCAAACTTTTAATAATGTCTAAAACTTTATTATTTTTTTTAAGAA